AGGATCTTGTGAGTTCAAGGCCAGCCTGGGCTACAAAGTGAGTTCAAGACCAGCTTGAGCTGTGAAGTGAGACCCTGTCTCAAAAGGACCCAAAAAATTAAGATAGCATGTTTAATGTTACATTACTAAAAGTATTCAGTAACAATATGGAATCATTGTACAACTTGAAATACTTGTGCAACTACCTGGTCAAGGAAACCAGGAGGTAAGGGAGGCCCGCCTCACACTCACTTGATGTAGTTAGCTACTAGACAATGCTCACAGGAAATGAAAAAGCTGAACTAGCAATAAATGAATGTTTAGCTGTTGGGCGTGGTGTTGCATACCTATAATCCCAGCATTTGGGAGCCTGAGGCAGGCAGAAGGATTGCTGCAGGCTGGGTTCTGGTCTCAAAAAGTTTAGCTAATGCAATGAATTTTGAGTAAGAGTTTTTGAACATGATTAAAATTTCAAGACATGAATGCCATTTTCTTTGTAAGTTCTAGAAACTACATAAAATTTGCAATTCTTTATTATCTTGTCTCCTCTTACCCTTTAAGAAATTGTTTTAAGGTATACATAAAGCTTACAATGTTTTTTGAGGGAGGATCTCCTTGCGTAGCCCAGGTTGGCATCAAACTCACGGACCTCCTGCCTTAGTCTCTCAGAGTGCAGATTATAAGTGAGTTCCGTCCCGCTTGTTCAACCTTTAATTGTACACACCACTCAGTGACATTTACCTTCACTCATGTTGCGCAAACATCGCTACCCCCATCTCCGGTACTTTCTTCCTTAACGGAAACTTTACCTGTGTTTGTCTTGGCAGCACTGGAGATTGAACCCAGTGCCCTGACACTGAGCCATCTCCTCAGCCCCCTCCCCATCTTCCATCTGAGACAGGGTCTCTGCATTGCTCAGGCAGGACTAGAATTTGCAGAAATTACAGGCATCTGCAGCCGTACCTGGTTTCTACCCATAACTTTAACACGTAATTCTCCATTTCCTCAGTACCTGGCAACTACTGTCTGAATTTTGTTAGTTCAGCAGCCTCACATGAGTGGAATCATGCACGATATTCACGCAACTTAGTGTATCTTCAGAGTCCATCCATGTTGTAGCATGTCAAAATTTTGTTCCTGAGGCTAAATGTTTCTACTTTTTATCCAGTCATCTGCTGAAGGCTGCATACTGAATATTGGTGCCGTGAACATAAGTATACAAGTGAGTCCTTGTCTACTTCACTTGGGTAGATACCGAGTACACTGACGCTGGGTTATAGTGATATAATATTTTGACTTGCTGCTACACTGGTTTTTTTTTTTTTAATTATTTAGTTATTTGACTTACCTATGAAACAGACCGAATGGAACAGAACAGTAGAACTTGCTGGGCATAGTGGCACACACCTGTAATCCCAGCACTCAGGAGGCTGAGGCAGGAGGATTGTTGCAAGTTCAAGACCAGCCTGAACTGCATAGGGAGACCCTGTCTCAAAAAGGACCAAAAAAAAAAAAAAACGCAGAACAGTAGAACTCTTTTTTTTCCACCAATATATGTGCTTTACCTGGCATACATCCACTTGCTCAGTACTAGCATACCATGAAGTCTGTGAGCAGAGATCTACACACAAATTTGCAGTAACACTTGAGTGTTTTGAGCAAGGGGTTCTATTTTTCCAGTTCCTTTCCTGTCATATAATTCTCATCAAGTTTGTTTCAATTATCCTGTTTATTTTCCAATTTAATTTTAAAATGCATTTTTAAATTTTATTTTATTTTCATTTATTTTTATTTTTTTGGGTACCAGGAATTGAACTCAGGACCTTGCACTTGCCAGGCAGGCACTTGTGTGGCTGAGCTATATCCTCGGCCCCTATGTTTTTTATTTTTAAAGAGAAAAAGAATGATACAAAATTTCAAAACAAGGTAGAGTAACAATGTTTAGTACATTGCTTAACGTTATCTTCAAAGTAGTTGCTCAGATTACAAGATAAAAAGCATGAGAAACTGATCAAACGATATAAGCACAAACTCTTTTCAATGAATAGAAATTTTATCTTAACTACCATATATATATTTTCTTTTTCCCCTTCCTTTCTCCTTTCCCTCATCCCAGTTTTTCTTTCCTTTTGAACCGTTTCTCCCCATTTTCAGTATCTGTTGTACATTTTGATTCGTTCTCTTTTCAGCTTCTTACACTAGGGAGACAATGTTTACACACGTGAGTGATTTATTTCACTTACAAGTACAATCACGTTACAAAAACCATTGATAATTTCCTATCACTTCGTCTAAGATTCTGTATTGCTTGTATTGTTTTTGTGTTATTTTCTAAATGTATGTTTTCATTCTTTAAAATTAAAAAAATGTGAAAAAACTTTCATCTATTTACTTACAAGTCTCAAGTTTATCCTTCTTTATAGCTGAGTAGTAAAATTTTTAAAAAGTGAAAAAAGTTGCATCTATTTACCTATAAAAGTCTCAGCCGGGCGTGGTGGCGCACGCCTATAATCCCCACACTCTGGAGGCTGAGGCAGGAGGATCCTTGCAAGTTCGAGACAAGCCTGGGCTACAAAGTGAGCTCAAGGCCAGCCTGAACTGCATAGTGAGACCCTGTCTCAAAAAAAAAAAAAAGTCTCAAGTTTATCCTTCTTTATAGCTTAGTAGTAAGAACTCTATTATATAAAAATATGTCTTTTCTATCCATCCGTTGGTTGATGGGCATTTGGGTTGTTTCCAAGATTTACCTAGGACGTAAATTGTGCTGCTCTAAACATGGGTGCACATATATTGCTGTGGTATGTTTTCAATTCTTGTGGGAAAATACCCATAAGGGGAATAGCTGGGTCGAATGGGATGTCTAACCCTAGTTTTTTTTTTGAGGAATCTCCACTGATTTCCACAGTGGTTGTACCAGTCTACACACCCACCAACAGAGGAGAAGGGTTCATTTTTCCCCACAACCCCTACAGTATTTCGGGGGGATTTTTGGTACTGGGAATCAAACTCAGGACCTTGTGCTTGCCAGGCAGGCGCTTGTGCCAGAGCTATATCCCTGCCCCTTGTTACTGATTTCTTGATGACAGTAATTCTTTCTTTCTGGAGTGAGATGGAATCTGTGTTAACTTGCATCTCTTCAGTGACCAATGATAAACATTTTTTCATTTATTTGCTATCTGTATTTCTTCACTTCCTAAGTGCATATTCATCTCAGACACCCATTTTTGGATTGAGTCTTTAAATTTAAGGGGTCTAGCCAGGTGTGGTGGCACATGCCTATAATTCCAGCACTCAGGAAGCTGAGGTAGGAGATCTTGTGAGTTTGAGGCCAGCATGGGCTACAAAGTGAGTTCAAGACCAGCCTGAACTGCATAGTTAAGACCCTGTCTCAAAAAAACAAAGTAAATAAATTTAAGGGGTCTGACTTTTGTTCATTTCTGTGTGTTCTAGATAGTAGTTCTTTGAGGGACTGTGGGCTGAAATTTTTTCCCACTCTGGGTTTTGATGTGCTTTTTAATGAGATCCCATGTTACACCCTTTAATGCTGCACCATTTTACACTCACCAGCAGCACTGAAGAATCTGTTTCTATACTTCAGGCCAACACCTGATATTTTTAAGATTGTTACATTTTTGATAATGCTTTCTAATGAGTGCGAAGTGGCATCTCATGGCTTTGATGGGCATTTGCCTAATGATTAGTGTTGCTGATTGGCCATTTGTGTATCTTCTTTGCAGTATTCAAGTCCTTCATCCACATTTTAATCAGGTTTTTGTTGCTGTTGAGTTGTAGGTATGAGCACCAACTTCTTTAGGCAGTTATGGTCCAAGTATTTTCTCCCACTCATGAGTTGCCATTTCACTCTGCGTAGTGGGTTTTTTTTTTTTTTTTTTTGTATTCTTCCTTCATACTGGATAATAAACGCAGGCCTTTGCACTGAGCTACATCCTCAGCTCTTTTATTTTTTGAGATAGGGTCTTGCTATGTAAGCCAGGCTAACTTTGAACTTGTGACAATCCTGCCTCAGCATCCACCTACCCCAAGTGCTGGATTATAGACCTATACCACTATGCCTGGCCTTATGTTTCCGAGACAGCGTCTTGGTAAATCACCAACACTGAGCTCGAATTTGTAATCCTCCTGCTTCGGAGTGCTGGGATTATGGGTTATGCCACTGCCACTACACCAGCACTTGTATACTCTTAAAAGAAATGTTACAAGAAATAGGAGATCTAAGGCTTAAATGTGTTCGCTTAGGCTTATCCTACTCCTAGGATACCCTAAGCAGCCAGAATGCAGTGCCTAGTATGTCACATCTAGGGACACCTGACAATGCAGGTGTTCTAGGTACTAAATATACCCAAGGTACCATAACTCACCTGGGCTAGGGATGTCACTTACCTGTCATGAGTATCTTAAGTGCTTACCAGTGCTGCATACAAAGTAGAGGCACTTATGAATTAAAAATTTGTAAAGTATACCCATTTTCACGTTTCATGTATAGGGACAACATACCGAAAAGGATTTACTGTAAAAATAACTAAAACAGGTCACATTTAATTCATTTATTAAATGTTTACTGAGCAAACAATAAAAGCTAGGTAATCTGAAAAATTAGAGCTGTCAGTGAAAGTACACGATGTCAGAAATAAGATGGTATGGAAAAAGGTAAACGAAAACCAACTGAGCAAGTAAAGACCTGGCTGTGTATGTCTAAATAGGGTAGCCAGGAGAGTCCTCTTCGAGCCAGACGTACCTGAACAAAGATGTGAAGGCATTCACTACCAAACACTGCAATCCAAAGTCCTAAGGTGAGAACAAACCAAAAGCTGCAGATGCCAGCTGAAGGCTGAGAAACCAGAGGAAAGCGTCGGTAGTGAGAGATGAGATCAGGGAAGTAAGGAGAGCGAGAGTCCTACGGAGCTTTATCTGACTTCAGATTTAGCCTCTGAGTTTTTAAAACACGTAAGGATGAAGAGAAACTATCTTAATGCTATGCGAGTCCATCAAACACCACGGAATACATTCAAGCAAGTTTCAAATATTTTATTTTCTTATTCATACAGTATGAAGTTTTCTAAAGATCCCACAACATGACGTATCATGCAGAAGAAAAACTAAACATTCAACATAAACCATCCCTCCCTACCCACCCCTACACACCAACTAAAAAAGGGGAAAAAGAGAAGAAGAAAAAAAAGAAAGAAAAACCCTCATTCCCCAGTAAGGAAATAATGTTTGCACTATTTTTCTGTAACGCCAGCCAAGATATGCACAAGCAAGAGAAATAGAAAGCATTTGCTAAAATATTTGTAACAATTATGTACAAAAAATTCACAAAAGACTAGTTCCCCCTTGAAGCAGAGCACATGGCAGTTGACACTGGAACAGATCAAACCACTGGCCGGGATTGTAAGCCACGTACTGATCCAGAGGAAGAAAGTTACATGTAGTGGAGATTTTCAGTTTGAACATTAACATTTCCAAAGTTTGGCAACATTATCTTTTAAAATTATGCAAATTATGTAAACAAGAGGTACATTTTAAATCGATCTACATGCAAAACTCCATGTCATGCAAGGACACCAAGCACCGGGATTTTTCTCTCACAGACAGAGCCCATGATGTGCAGCACTCAGTTGAAGGAACAGCGATAGCAGGCAGGTGTGCTCAATTTAAGTTTCATTCACTGTGATTCGACCTGCCCTTTAACCACTCATGATTGCAAAACCAGTTTTTATAGAAAAACTGTATAGGGAAAGACTACTGTCACATGAAGCTGACCAAAATGTTTTCTTCCAGCCAATAGTACCTTTGCAGAAAAGGGAAGGGATAACATCAAGTGGTGGAACATGATACACTACTTTTATATCACACAAATTTATTCAGTTATCACTTGTCACCAATTATATGGGCAAACAAAAAAAATCACGCACCCTCTACGCCTTGTGACAAAGGAATTAAAGTGTAAGTTTGGATGAAATTTTGCTCTTCTGTGGCAATATTAGCAATATTTCTCCCATTTAAATCACAAATACAGGAGGGCATTTGAATATATAAGTATCACCAGCTTTTTAGATTAGCTGGAAATCTTTTGAAACACGTAAGAAAAATTTATGGGTCAAATACCAGTTTAATGACAAATTATTTACCCATGTATAATGGAACAAATGGATATGCTAAGCAGTTACATGATTACTTCAGGTTTTCTTCATTAAGTAATGCATAAGAGAAATCATGATTGCCTCAGACGCTCTGGCCTTTATGCATAAAACCACAACTGGTGATTACAATTACTCAGGGACATTTACTAAATGCAATGCCTCCTAGTTACAAAGTAACAGAAAGAAGCGGCCATAGCACTGTGCATAAGGATACAAGAACTAGCTAGTTACATACGAATACAAGAACTAGCTCTTGGCAGCAGCACTGAACTATACTTTCTCCTCAGCCACAGATGGATTAAAAGCTGCTCAGCAATGAGACACAGTCCCAGGAAATATATTCATAGGTATAAATAAAGTTACAGACTCCTTTGTTACAAAAATGTAATTAAGGTAAATAATAGGACATTAACAAATGCTTTGTCAATCTCTCAAAGGAGAAAGCACAGGTAAATAGCTGGCCTAACACCCAGTTCAAATTGTACAATCTTCTATCTACATATAAAACTGTGTGAAATAAAAGTAAGGATGTTTTATGTTCTGCTTGGCACTTTTGTACTCTATCGTTTTGTTTCTGAATCAAGTATATTAAATTAAAGCCAACCTACTACATATATAGAAAGCTACATATATCTATATATAAATATTTACATATGTATATATAGATACTTTCTTGTTATAAAAGATGAAGAAAAATAAATTAAAAAGCCAACCCCTTCCCTTTCTCCACCACATTGATATGCTCTTTTCATGTTGCTGTCCTTCAGACTTTAAAGTGCTACACTGAGTTATTGAGAGAAGAAGAGTTCAATAACACTTAGTTGGCTTCATGAGGCTCATGTTGGAAAATGTGGCTTCACAGAGAAAAATACTTCCATTTAAATACACAGAGAGCATTGCTGGACGTCTTGAGCAGATCTTCAGAGATGGAGAAGAAAGCAAAAGTGTTGGGTGGTACTCTTCAAAGAGTCACACATCTACCACCATCTTTTTGTGGATATCTAGGCCACCTACAACCTGCAACAGACAAGAACAAACAAAGCTTAACAACATCTGTGAAAAAATACTTTAGCCATCTTATCAAAGGCGCAACTTGAAAACACTACTTTAGCCATTTCCAGAAGCTGGATTTTTCCAAAGAAACCTTGAGTGACTCTACTTAAAAAATTTCATCGCTTCTTCCATCTAGGGTGACAGGCATTACATTTTTGTGTTCTAATCCAACTGTCCACAAACTTGCTCTGTGGAAGTCTGTCAAGTATTTTGAGTTTTGTAAGCCATTTACCATTTCTTTTGCATTTTCTTTCTTTTTAAAGCAACCCTATAAAAAATGTAAAAACTTCAGGCCATGGGCAGGATTTGTCTTACTCTGTAGTTTGCTGATTCCCACTGTAGTACTTTAACATTATATAATAACCAGATGTTACCATAAAAACTGTCCTCCAAAACCAAATATGGGTTTTTCTATCAGTCTATCCTAGAAGGCATTCAATAGTTTCAGATGAATAAAATTTTCTCTACTTTTCCATGAAGTTTTATACATCTCAGGGAATACTGACATGGTAATCTAAAAAATGTAATAAGCATCTGTGTTATTCTGAGATGTCTTATTACGTATAACCTACATCTAGGGAAAGACTCATAAATGTCCATAGCTTGATGAATTTCACAAAGCAAACACCAAATAACAGGCCACCACATCATTACCAGAAGTCTTCTTTGGTTCCCTTTCAAGCACTAGCCATCCCCCCTCAAAACACACACACACACACACACACACACACACACACACACACACGCACAGCTACTACTCTAGCTTATAATGCCATGAGTCAGTTTTGTCTATACATTGTGTAAACGGATTTCAGTCTACCTTGTTTCATTTAACACTGTGAGATTAACCCATGTTCTTATATACAATGGCACCTGTATTATTTTTAAATTATTTTTTAATCTTAAAAATATAGCATAAGGAGCCAGTTAAGTTCTACAAGACCTACTATGAAATGAGTGGTTTGCTACCCTGCTCTCATTCTCTAGTTCTTTTCAAAGTGATAACTGCTTAAAATTTTCAGGTTTCATTATTTACCTTCAGGTCTTCAAACAGTATTTCTATGCTGCTTTTTTTCTTAAGAGCCTGAGCTACTACCTATGCACTTGCCACCACAGATGATTCCTGACTTTGTAGGGAGTCCCTCTCCTGTGCCTCCACCTGACTACTCCAGCTCTCTGCAGACTTGTCTGTTCCCACTACTCAATTTCACAGTAAGGTGCCTATGTCCCGATTATTTTTATATATTACGCTGGATACCAAGTGTTCTGGTTAATCTTAACTGTCAATTCAACTAGGAGAGTCTCCTGGAGAGGAGACTGGATCCTGGGGGTGCTATGCATGTAAGTGGATTAATCCACTGATGTTCACAGCTGAAAGTGCTGTTATGCAGCCCAGAAGCCCAGCTGGAGGTGGATCACGGGGCCTGCCTCTGGAGGAGGTGTCTCTCACTGGTGCCCTACCCCTGTGCTCTGCTTTCTGGCTGCCACAAAGCGAAGAGCTTTGCTCAGCTGCGCCATTATACCATGGAACAAGCCAACTAAGGCCTGAAACCTCTGAAATACATTACTCTTGATTCTCAAGTATTTTCTTGCTTCATTATCAGTGACCCACCACCACCACTCCATTCTCTCTTGAGATCCTTGGTGTTCAGCTCCTAAAAATGGATCCCCAATTTTTCTTTTTCTGGAGAAAGAGAGGGTCTCACTATGTAGCATAGGCTGGCCTTGCACTTCCAACGATCCTCCTGCCCCAGTCTCCTGAGTGTTGGGATTATGGGCGTGTGCCACTACGCCTACTCAGCTTGGATCTTTAAATTCCTAAGGTCTCTTTTATATGTTATTCAATGTGGTTCTAAGAATTCAATACATCATAAATGTGAGGGTAACGCAGGTAGCCTTGCCTTTTAGTTTTTCCTGGCCTTGCCAATCTGTTTCTTCCAAGCTTTTTGTGGATTTGCTTTGGTTTCTATGTTCCATATAGAGTTTTTCCTCCAGTGTTTGACGATCCTTGCTGTTTCTGTGGAAAGGGGACTAGAACTCTATGTATACAATGGGGCTAGTGGTTCCAAGTGTGTTTTGAGTTATCTGGTGGAACCACTCTGGAAAGGTAAGTTCCTAAAGGGGCACTCTTTCTATCTCTTGCCTAGAGAGTACCTAAGTCCCACTGCCATGGAATTGGGTCTAGGAAGAAGACTAGAGATAGCAACATGCAAAAACGTACATTTTTCACTTAATTCCCCAACATACCTACCCCTACCCCGGCCACATTTTTTCCAGCTACAGGGCTCCCTAGTGTGTGGTAGAGAAAGCTGCCTAGCTGAACAGAGAAGCGGAGGAGGTTTAGTGTTCCAATGACTTCTCAAAATAGACTCAAACCGATTCGCCTGTTTTTAGCCTCATCTTCATCCCCAGAGTTATTCATGCCTCCAATTTCTCAGCCTTCCAGGGATTTTGCATTATAAACAAAGCTGCTTCTCATATTTTGAAGGTGATACGCAGTTCTGTGTCTTTTATTCAAAGATTCAATTCTGAGAACTAGTTTGACACAGTTGAGAGCAGGCAAGAAGCAATATTAATAAACTGGCACAAGAATACAGCAAGAGTCTGTCCTAAGCCTACACCACATGTGGAAGACACATGGCTGGAACAAGGACAGGTTAATCTTTAAGCCAATGGCTAAAGCCAAGACTAGTAAGCAAGCAGTCTGTGAAGTTCCGGCACCTCAAAAAGCAAGGTAACATGGCAGCTGAAGGCTCGGTTCATGCAAATTCCTTCTATCTCAGCAGTGGCAGTGAGCAGACAATCAGATCACTAGTGAATCATGATCTGTTCCTGTGTGCTTTTCCAAAAATGCATCCTTTTTTTCTTTTTTTTGAGACAGGGTGTTGCTATGCAGTTCAGGCTGGCCTCAAACTGGAAATGATCTTCCTTGCCTCAGCCTTCCGAGTGCTGGGATTACACCACCACGCCCAGCTCATTCTTCATTCTTGAACCTTGACCATATCAGCAGTTCACCCCCACTGCTTCCCGCAGCCACCAGCAACCCCCAATCATGCTGTGCACCCACTGAAGGCCGAGGACACTGTGCCTCGCGGTCTGAGTCCTGACTAGGCTTTGGTCATCCTGGTGCCCCTTGTAACTACAATGTTTATCTTGTTTGTGTTTTACTGTGCTGTCACGCCCCTAAGTAGGAGAGTGGTGGCCCCAGGCCAGGGCCCTGATAAGTCTATGCATGGGTTAGTTAAGCACTCAACTTTCTAAATAACCAAACTCAGTTGCTATCTTCTCTGCTATTCACTGTGTCCTTGTGAGTTCACAGCCTTTCCTTATTTCACCCTTTCATTTTATTCAAATTTGAGAGGTGGCAAAAACAAATGCATGTGTTCAGTCCTCCTATTTAGTATGGTCACTCACCATATGTAAGATTTATTTAGCCAGACGTGGTGGTGCACACCTATAATCCCAAGTACTCAGGAGAGTGTGGCAGAAGATCCCAAGTTTGCGACCAGCCCGAGCAATTTATTAAGACCCTGTCTCAAAATAAAATACAAAGAGCCAAGGATATATATAGCTCAGTGGAAGAGTGCTTGCCTAGCATTCATGAAGTCCTGAGTTCAATGCCAAGCATCACAAATTTAATAGAATTTTTAAAAGATTTCCTTTCATGTATTAAGTACTCTGAAAAATTTAAAGTACGTATTCTTTTTTTTTTTTGAGACAGGGTCTAGCTATGCAGTTCAGGCTGGCCTTGAGCTCACTTTGTAGCCCAGGTTGGCCTCCAACCTGCAATGATCCTCCCGCCTCAGCCTCCCAAGTACTGGGATTACAGGTACACATATTCTTTTAAAATAACTTTTCTACCTCTTTCACTGTTGTAACTTGAGAAGTCAGAAGAAAAAGAACATAATGGAGACAGAACTGCACACCTTCTGTCAGTGTTTAGAAACATGATTTTTTTTTTTTTGGTTTTTCTCCGGTACCAGGAACCGAACTCACAACCTTGCACTTGCCAGGCAGGTGCTTTTGCTGCTGAGCTAAATCCCCAGCCCCTAGAAACATGATTTTAAACACAAAATAAACACCTTCCTCCACTTAGGGATTATACCCCTCAAAAATACAAGGGCAATTTATTGCAAATATTGGAAAACAAACGTAAGGCTTTACCTTACATCTTCAGTACAGATAATAGCATTATTTTTATACATAAAGATGTATTTTGATTTCACCAAGTGAGGTATATAATACATTTAATATTTACTAAATACAAAGAGTCTTCATATATATGCACCCCTTCCACTCCAGCCAAGTTTATTTATTTCATTCCTCTGAGATTTGAGATCTTTTTCTTCTTTTAAAAACTGGCTGCTAAGTAGAAGGAGATGTTAAAAGAATTAAGATGTATTATGTACATGTACCAAATCCTCAGGATGAATGTAACCATTATGTACTGAGAACTTAAAAATAAAAATAAAAATAGAAAACCTGGCAGCTATCTACAATGCCACTACCTGCCTGGTCACGTCATACCCAACTATCCGTCACACATCAGTCCACAGCAGCCCTTCCTTCCATCACTGGTAATGCAGATGGAGGAGAAAGGAAGGGACAGTAACACAGTGGAGCAGCACGACTTGGCAGCAGTGCAGTCTCAAACCTACCCACCTCTTCCACACCATGTAACCTATACTTTAACATCCACTTGCAGTACATAACTTTTAAAACTAGTAACTTAATAATTTAGAGTTAAACAACACATTTCTAAACTTTGTGAGAGGGCCAGAGAAATAGCTCAGCGGCACAAGCGCCTGCCTGCCATGCCATGCCCAAGGTTCTGAGTTTGATCTCAGTGCCAAAAAAAAATTAAATAAATAAATAAATAAAAATAAACTTTGTGGGGCAATTTTGCAAAATTGGATATATAAATTTTGGGGGTATATACCTTCAAGTAATTTCCTAGTAAGTGCCTTTTATTTATTTACTTATTTTTTTGTCTTTTTGAGACAGCATCTCGCTATGCAGTTCAGGCTGGCCTTGAGCTCACTTTGTAGCCCGCCTGGTCTCAAACTCGCAACGATCCTCCTGCCTCAGCCTCCCGAGTGCTGGGATTACAGGCGTGCGCCACCATGCCCAGCCAGTAAGTGCCTTTTAAAGTATGTTTTTAAAACACAAACACCAGAAGAACCAGTTCTTTCATACTTACAGCACAAAATTCTTCAAAGGATATTCTTCCATCTCCATCCTTATCTGCATTTATTATAGTTTTGTCTACAATTTGCTGTAATTGTGTGTCTTTCAGGTTGTTCCCCACCATCATCTTCAAAACCTGGAAGAGCTCCCCATTGGAAATATAGCCATCTTTATCCATGTCGTAGATACGGAAAGCAACTGAGAAAAGGGAAAGGAAAATCAGTACAATTATAATGCAATCACATGGGAATACTTCCAGTGAGAAAGAAAATTAAACTGCCTAACACTCAAAATTATGACTAGAAGGATGGCTCCTTCCTCAATATATAAATTGCCTTTAGGCACTGTTTATTAAATCTATGAGTTACAGTCAAGACTGCATGGGCTAACCAGTGTAGTGTAGGTTCAATTATCTGACCCCACACAACTACAGGTGAGAACAGTTCCAACATCTCAGGTTCTTAAGAACATTTCTTCTCATTTTCACTTAGGAAAAAAATCTCTTATCCAAGTTGATATATGGCTGTTTTCAGTGGACTGAAATTCTGTTTTCCTTCTATATACTAACAGCAATGGTGACAGACAATGGTGGTGGATACCTATATCCCAGCACTGGGAGGTTAAGGCAGGAAGATCACTGCTGCAAGTTCAATGCAAGCTTGGGCAATACAGAGAGTTTAAAGCCAGCCTAAATAAACTACTTAGTGAGACACTGTCTCATTAAAAAAAAAAAACAAAAAACACAATAGCACAATATTCAACTGTAATAGTTGTAAACGCTCTAAAGAATTTCATCAGAATATGAAATTACTGTTATGTCTAAGGATCGGGAGTAAAAAAAACCTTTTAGCATATTTTAAAAGTCTACAAATAAACAATGGTACTAGTTCAAGAAGGAAAATGAGTAAGTGGCAAAAAATACTTACACCTCAACTTCTGCTCCTTATCTCCTTTGACACTGAACTGAGAGACGCCCTCAATGAATTCTGAGTAAGAAGAATTAAAAATGTTAAGCCAGAACTTTCAAATTTTTACACAGAAAAATCAACAGTTTACCTTACATACTCACAAAAGGGTACTTTCTTGTACAAAACAAGTATTTTTAAAAGTTCTAGAAAATGCCTAATTTAAAACCTTCACAAACAAGATTCTACATAGTTTTCTTATTTAACATGGGAAGCTCTCAATCTGGATGAATACTTGTTAAGTACTGCAAACTAACACTCAAAAATATTCAAGTTACTTAACTCTTCCTTCTTACAGAATGATTAAAAGAGGCCTTTAAAAAAAAACCTACAGGGGCTGGGGATTTAGCTCAGCGGCACAGCGCCTGCCTGGCAAGCGCAAGGTCGTGAGTTCGATTCCCAGTACCCGAGAAAAACAAAAAAAAATTAAAATTTAAAAAAAAAACAACCAAAAAAACCTACAATTTATTTTACAAAAATAATTTTGGATTTCTGTTCCAAAATTCAGAATCATCTAAATAAACACTGTTAGAAGTTTCATGCAAAATGCTCATTTCTCTTTACAATCTGAAGTAAATCATAATGTTAAAGATCCCTTCACTAGTAATTCAGTTCTGAAACTAAAATAACAAATCCCTTTGACAATTATTAGTGAAACAAGATGTTTACTTAAAGAATCAAAGTATAAAATAAAGAATCATGTTACTATTAGCAAAGGCACCATTCAATGCATTTGTAAAACCTCGATTAAAATAAATTAATTCTGTTCTATACTAATGCTCACATCCTTATTCCTATAGCTTAATTTTCATGCTTGATACACTGTTTAAAAGATGAATAAAAAGATCTTTAAAATATAGCTTCTAGTTATTATAAGCTGCTCTAAAATAATTTCGTAGAAACAAAGGAAAATAATTTCCTAAAAATAAAGAGATTTTAAAAATCTCTTTTTGAGTACAGATTACCCTAAAAGACACTTTGATCATTTATGAACCAAAAGTCAAGGGTCTTAGTCCATTAAGAGATATACAGCATGGATTTTGAGGTCTTAATAACTTCAAAATAATCTTTATATAACTTTAATAATCTTTTATTATAGCATCACCAAATTATAAAGATAACTAAGAAAAACAGTTTCAGACATACTTATACACAGAACTGTGATTACACATAAATTCTTTAACTTGTAATTTATAAACCAAGAATAACTTTCTTACCTTTAAAGTCTACTTCTCCATTCCCATCTGTGTCGAATATATCTATTACTCGCTGTACTAAAGGATTCTGTTGTAATTCAGGCAAAGACATAAACTCTTCCACACTCAAAGAACCAGAATTGTCCAAATCAAGCTTCTTAAATCTTTTTCCTAACCTTTTAATTTCATCAGCATCAACTGAAAGCCAACAACAACAAAAAAGGTAGTAAGATTTTTGAAAAACAAAAACGAAAACACAGCTATATGATTATATAATTATAAAGAAAAATTCAGCACTTATCCAACAGTGTAATTTCCTATAATAATGTAAACTAATTACTTCTAATAGAAAAAGTAGAACAAATATTTTCACTTGGTTACCTTTCTGTTTGTCTGCTCTTGCCATAATATACAGCCAAGTATATGGTGAGTACCCAGATTGCCCAAGACTGACAATGCTAAGCTGATCATGCAGGTCACAGGAGATATCCCCTGAATGACAATGCTTAGCTGATGACAAAGATCCTACTAGACAAACTAAATCAATCTCTGCTCTATACCAAAGCACCTTTATTTTTACTTCTTTCTGTGAATATTCACTTAATTCTTCTTAATAAAGTTCATGATTTAAAATTCCAAAGCTAGCTAGATGTGGGTACAAGCCTGTAATCCCAGCACTCTGGAGGCTGAGGCAGGAAGATCTTCACAAGTTCAAGACCAGCCTGGGCTACACAAGTGAGTTCAAGGCCAGCCTGAACTGCATAGTGGGACCCTAACTCAACCTTCACCCCGCTAAAAATCTCAGGCTATTCAAAATTGAAATGTTTTCCTCTTGTCTCACCACACAGTATGTAATTCCCTTCTTTGGAGACAATGGGACCAGTTTCCTGAACAGTCTTCCAGCTTCAGCTAAGTTCTTGATACTATCTTTAAGTATGCACAACTTAAACACAGTACTTACTAATCTTAATTTTAGTTTTTGTTTTTTTATTTTGTTTTGTTTTTCTTCCAGTACCGGGAATTGAACTCATGACCTTCCGCTTGCCGGGCAGGCGCTGTACCACTGAGCTAAATCCCCAGCCCCTAATCTTAATTTTAAATGCTAACAGAATTCAACTTCTAACACTTTAAAAGAAAAAAATAACAATTTAAGAATCATTTGTATTAGTTTATAAGTACAGCACTATATAAAAATTTAGTATCAGGTCTCTTTTTACCTGCATTCTTAAAAATGTCATTCCCCCCCTCTAAATTGCATCATCTCCATTCCCTTAAAATACCAGATTAATTCAGATAATATTGACTATGGATTAACAGAAATAATACAAGTATATAACAAAAATTAAACACAACCACTAAGCTTTTTTAAAATAAAATGAAGAAAGCAAATATTATATTACTCATAAGCATAGCCCCGAATGTTAAAGTACAAAAATATATGGCATCTTGTTATGGTTTGTGTCTGAATGTCCCCACAAAGCCTCATGCAGTCATGGGGCGGGCTTCTAAAGCTTATGACTGATCCATGGTCCAATGTTGGCATTATGGATGTGAATGCTACACCGGCCTTGGGGAGTACAGTTTGCATACAATGTAAGGGAGGGAAAGAGGCTGCCACCGCTCCTCCTCTTATGCTCTTATTGCTTTTGTTATCTTCTACCACCATGAATTGTTGCCCTCTGCCATGTGCCACCCTACCTTGGAGCCAGCTGATTATGGACTGAAATCTCCACAAACTGTGAACTAAATAAACTTTTCCTTGATTAATACTGGGCGTCAGGTATTTTGTCTCAGCAACGAGAGAGAAAAGTAACTAAGACACATTCTCACTGTAAGAATTTTAAAATTAAAGTATATTTAAAATATAAATAGTGCAACATTACAATATGTGTTCAGCTCCAAGAGAGCGCTCTAATGTGAACTGATTTCTACGTAAGTGACAGGAATAATGTCAGTAAAACGTGGAAGTTTCAGAGATTTTGCCAGTACAGGTGCTCTTCCATTTACAATGGGTTACGTGTGAATAAAAGCACCACAAATTGAAAACATTCTAAGTTGAAAATGCCTGTAACACATCTGCCAAACATCATAACTTAGCTTCATCTACCTTAAATATGCTCAGAACATAAGTTTATGGTTAGGTAAAATCATCTAACCCAAGCCTATTTTATAAGTTGTCTTTCTTTTTTTTTTTTTTTGGTACCAGGAATTGAAACCAGGACCTTGCGCTTGGCAGGCAGGCGCTGTGCTGCTGAGCTATAATCCCTGGCCCAAACTAGGGGGTGCTACTCAGCTGCTCTGCACTGTATTTTGAAAGTGTTATGCTGTGTATCACTAATCCAGAAAAAGATCTAAATTCAAAGTACAGTCCTGCTGAAAGAGTATCACTTGTGAACCATTGTAAGTTAGGGACCATCTGTGTTATGAAAAGGCCCTAGGCATGTTTTCTCAACTTCAAAAAAGGAATCAATACATAAAAAACTTTAAGAAAAAATTCTCTTTGTTTTTTATCACCATACCCAAAAATACCATTGATGAAGGTGGCTACATACTGAGTCGTCAATAGTGTTCACAAAATTAGTTTCTACTGAAGTAAATGATCTCAAGAACTGATGGAGACTACTATGAAGCAGACCTGAGAAGGACTTAACCAATTGGCTTTTCATGTTCACTTGTGAATTTGTGGAAGGCCTAGGCTCCTTGTCTGGAAATGGCAGACTTATAGCAGGTGAACCTCTGCGAGTCACTGATCCCTACTAAAACCTGTAGTGGTGATGAAGCCAGAAAGCCTCAAAGGATAAGACAGGATCACAGCCACAGACACCTGGTTCCACCTCAACAAGATAAAGACTATAGCCTCACGCATCTCACTCCTGGGTGGGTTAACTTAATACCTTGAGAAGTCCTTGAGTGATTCCACCCTTCCTGGTTATTCCCCTCCCTTCTTCTGATGACCAAATAAATTTGGGCCACCCAGAGAAAGTCTTGGTCTTAGCCCTAAGACAATCTCAAATCCTGTGAGAGGGCTTTGATCCTCCTGGAGCCCTGAAATCACTCCACTTGCTTTTTTATTTAGCCTTCACTATACCCTCGTTTGGGAGATTGTGGACCTGATCAGCACCAAATAACTAAGGGATATTATTAACCCAAAGAGAACTTCTAACTCAAAGTAATTGTTTAAAGCTCTTAAGTGATAAGCTCTGGTGTTTAACACAAATTCCAGGGTTAATCTGTATTTGTGAAGTATTTGAATAAACCTTATTTTTCTGTTTTCCATTGTGAAACCAGTTATCTTGATACATCTCCTTGTGTTTGTGTGTGTGTGTACTTATTTAGTACTTCTACCTCTGGGGCTGGGGATTTAGCTCAGTGGCAAAGCGCCTGCCTGGAAAGCGCAATGTCGTGAGTTCAATTCCTGATACCGGAAGGAAAAAAAAAAATTACTTCTACCTCAGAGCAGAACCCACAACTTCCTCACAGGTATTCTCTATACTGTATAAAAGTAAGTGCTCAATAAATGTTTTCTGTACTAATTAAAATGCTTCAGACTTTAAAACTTACTGATCAAAATGCTATCAATGTATAAAGTAAAATTTTATCTAACCAGATGTCAAACTACAGCATTTAGTAAATCACTCACAAAAATTTCTCAAAATTCATTGATTTTGCTGAAGAGCTACCCTCTCTGTGCTTGCCTCAATTTTATACGCACACCAAAGATTATTAACTGTGTCCCTCTTGCAATCAAATTTGCCTCAGTTTAAAAACCCATGGTATGAAAAAGATGATGGGGAAATGTATGAGCAGGTATATTCTAAGCATAAAAGAAAAGAAGACATCTCTACAAGTGAACAAATCAGGATCAAAAGAGTATCATTAATGGAAAGAGGAAAAGGAGACAGAAACATAATACTTGTAGAAACTTATCTATTAGATTCGATTTGGTAAAGCTGGGACATGAGTAACTTTAAAAAGTTGTCTATCAAGAAACAACTTGGACTTCAAGGGTTATTTCAGTTACCTGGAAAACCTCATTCTCAAGAATCTAGCATTGCAGTCTTGGATAATATTAAGGAAATTTGAGAGGCTGGTAATGTAAATCAATGGTAGAGAAACTGTGATTCAATCCACCTGTTTTTTTACCCTGTCAACATTAACCTTTTTAAAAAGTAAATTCAGTCCACTTGCTAGCTCCTGTGCTTAAAAATGCTTTGTGGATTCTTAATAATAAACAGGATAAAATGCCTTAAGCCCTTGACAGTATTTAGCTTCAATTTAAATTTCCATTTTAACATCTTACCCCAAGTCCTTTTCTTTCTTTAACTATATTCTTCTGTGTACAATTCTGCTGAAGTACAAATTTCTATTTCTTTATAAACCTCCTATTGGAAGGTCCATACCGGAACACTCCATTTATTTATTGGACTATCAATTTTTCTCTGATTAAGAATAGAAGAGTGTTATCTATCTCACAGTTGTAAGGATCATTAATTCTGTCTCTAGTAAAACTCTTAAAAGACTCTTTAAAACCCATTTACTTTCTATTGCTATAAATATCTTATGAAATATTATAATGAAGTAGTTGATGTTTGTTCTGGATGAGTAGCTCAAACTTTCCTCAAGGGTAAAGCAAACTGCCAGTGAACAACTTTCCCTTCACAACACAACTGTTGTCGAAGGACTTTTAACGTTTTTATTTTTATTATACCCTTTTTCAGTACATAACAATTACACTCATAGTGGGGAGTTGGTACATGTGCATAATACATTTTAATTTTTACTTCCTTTCCCCCTCATGCCCCTCCTCACTCCCTCCATCTCTTGGTTCCCTTCCCATTTGCAAAGATCTATCCTCGTTTCCTATTGTCAAGGGGCTTCTTAAAAAGCCCCTTAAGTATGACCTGGAGAGAACAGCTCTGTTTAATCTTTTCATTCACCACCTTCCACACATCCTGTGCAGACGAAACTCACCTTGAACTTCTTTGAGAAACCAGTAAAATGTGTAAAAAAACATTATCTTTCTTCCAACCACTATTGTATTTCCTCCTCTTCTCCCTCCCTTCCTTCCAGCTGAGATCATAATGGTAAGACAGACACTAAGTACTTTGGGTTTACTATCTAATAGAGGCTACCTTCTCAATCTGAGGTATCCATATTTAGGATGAACCTATGGCATAATGCTGCAGCACTGGCACAGC